GCCTGGCCCTCTTCTCTGGGTCCTTAGAGAAGAGGGGACAGGCACGGGCATACTTGCACATGTGTGTGGACACGCAAGTGGGAGTGGGCCCATGTGGGCATGCAGGCAGGGGAGGGCACATGCATCTTGGTGATTGAGTCTGGAGAAGACAGACCCAGGTGGTCAGGCGGGCAGATAGTGGTGTGGTCAGAATCCTTCCTGTCCTCCTCGGGGCTGGCACAGTCCAGACGCCAGCTCCCTGTGATATCACATCTGCCCAGACCCCTTCCTCTTTGGGAACCCTTCCCCTCCCCCCACAAGCTTCCTCTTTCCCATCACACCCTCCCTGGGCCTAGAGGGAGTGGACAACCACTCATTGTCCTGTTTCCGCTCCAGGAGCCACTCCAGGCCAGCCCAGGCCCCCAGCACTCAGCACCCGCTCTGCCCGCCCTGTCTGTGCAGTGCGCCCCTCCCCCACAGGCTCAGCCGTGATTCTCTCTGTGCAGTTTGTGCTGTGCCTGGGTCTGGCCGTGATCTTCCCCTGTGCAGCCCACACCATGGCTATGTCTGGGCCTGGGATGCGGCTCACTGGTCATTAGAGCACTGAGTGGGGCAGCCAGCGGTGTTTCTAGAAGCATAAAAATACCCCCAACCTGAGGCCCCTCCACCCCACCCGCCCCAACACAGGCAGCACTTCCGCAGACCTGACAGGAAATGGGCTGGAGTCTCAGCCTCCCGCCATCTCGAGGCAACTTCTTGTTTCCCTGTTGCCCTGTGCCAGCACTGGGGTAGTGCCCCCTGGACTCCACCCCCAAAACCTTCCCAGGGCTCTGTCCCTGCAGCTCGGAGGGGCCAGGATGGTGGACATGATCGCCAAAGTGACTAGGAGGCAGAGTCAAGCCTTGCGGGCACAGGTAGGGGACGCTGGGGTCAAGGGGTGCCCCATTGACCTCTACCCCAAGCCCTGTTAGGAGCTGGGCGAGCTGGGGCTCGGAGCAGGGAGCCTCTTGGAAGTTGGGGCCCATACTTCCTTTTCTCTTTCCTTCTTAGAGGCCCTGCCCATCCAAGAGGTGGTCAGCTTGGGGCAAGAGTGGCAGAGCTGCCACCTGCTTGTGGACAGGGCAGGGAACTGGAGACAAGGGGTGAACCACTGTAAGGAAGTGCCAGGGGGCTGGGCAGCCTGGAGCTTGACAGCCAGGTCCCTCTTGGCTCCTCCTCTGGCCTGGGGTGGGAAGGCCACTTCTTGTCTCTAGGATGCGGCCCAAGAGCCTTTGGCTCTGTGGTCAGGCCCCTGCTTATGAGCTGCATCTGGGTCTTGCTGGGCCTCCACGCACAGGAGCAAGGAGGAGGGTAGGGGCGGCAGGCGCTGCTGTAACTCCTTGAAGCCCAGAGGATGTGGAGGGCGTGACTGCACCTGGCCCCAGGAGCTGGTCAGAACCCAGCTGAGGCTCTGCCAGGAGGGGAGGCATCTCTAGCTCAGCACTGCGCGGGGTCTGCAGAGAGTTCTAGAGTTCGAAGGGGCCTGAAGGACGCTGCAGTTCAACGCCCACCACAGGGCTGTGGCTTCCCTAACGGGGAGTAGACTCTGCTCAGTGACCTCCAGCGAGAGTCCCCCACTACCTCCAGAAGCAGCCCGTGTCCCTGGCAGCCCCAGTCCTCAGAATACTTCCTTTAGAGGAATGCTGCTCTGCCCCTGCAGCGTGATACCACGTCTTCTCTTCCTTGTGACAGCCCTGTCATGCTGGGGACCTAAACTTCTACCTCAAATCTCTTCTGTACCTGCTGGGGATGTTCCTTTGTGTGAAGACCCCATCAGCCTCACTGGCCTGGGACTCCTTGGGAACTCAGAGCCACGGCCCACAGCCTGCCAAGTAGAAACTCCTGCTCCAAAGAGCCTGCTCCTTATCAGCTCATCCACCCCTGGTGGGGCCTTTCAACCCCTGCCCCAGTGGGTTCAGCTGGGAGGATGGCAGGTGTGTCTGGTTCCTCTGCCTTCCTCTCCCGGCTGCTTCCATCCTGCCCTCCCCAGGAATCTCCTGGTTTCTGTGGCTCCAACCTTCCTCCTCAGAAAACTCAGCTCATTCCAGGCTCTCCTGCCATGTCAGGCGTGTTTGCTGCTGAAACTTGGCATGGGTTAGACTTGCGTACTCAAGCAGTAAGTGTTTGTGGCAGACCTGCTGGGTGCGTCAGGGCATTGGCCCAGCTGCTGGGCGGCAAATGAAATCAGCTACATTATCCTTAGTCTTGCTCTCAAGAAAATCCTGCCTTTTGGGGCAGAGGAGGTGGGCAGATGGCTGGACAACTGGCTGCCCACCAAGGCAGAACGCCATTGGGCCCCACCAGAGCAGTGAGCAGAGTGCCAGCAGGTTTGGCCTCTCCCTGGAGAGGCTTATCAGCTAAGCACCATGAGAGAGCAGGATTTGGGTAGGCAGAGAACCAGAGAAGGGAATTCCAGGCTGAGGGAATGGCTGGAGCAAAGGCGTGGAGGTGGGAGAATGCCTTTTCTGTTGGGGGCCAGTGAGAGTCCTGTTGTGGTTGGACTACAGGATGCCACATCAGGACTGTGGTGGGGGCAGAGAAAGGAGAAGTGGGCTGGCGGGTCCCCTCTCAGCCACACAGGAGCCTAGAGGAAGGGGAGAGGAGCGAAGAACTGATGGGCTGGGATCCCCAGCTCTCCCTGACCCCTGGGCACCTGGGGACCAGCACCCTGTCTAAAACTGTAACATCCTCTTCTTTGACAGTGTTTTCCTTTCTTGCTTAGCAGTGATCAGCACTGACATGCTGTCCATTTACTCATCACCCCGCCATTTACACACAGGTGCACTTGAGTGCCAGCTCTGCCGGGGAGGGATTTGTGTCCCTTTTTCACTGCTGCATTCCCCGTGCCTCGAACAGTGCCTGGCGCAGAGCAGGCAAATCTTTGTTGGGTGAACGAATGTTCTTCTTTTCCTTATTCTTTTTGTTGTTTTGGCTTGCTTTGCTTTTTTAGCATCAGTTTGGTGAAAAATGAATTTTTTTTTTTGGCATCTGCCTAAGGCTCAGGGAGAGGCCACCTTGAACAAGTGCTTCCTCTTTCGAGGAGTTTACAGCTTAGTGACGGTGTCACAGTCAGCAGAGGAACTTCTGTGATTTTTTTGAAAGTTTTGTAGTACAAAATTTTGAGGCTGCAGGAAAGTTCAAAGAAAACAAAACAAAAATAAACCCCTATAATCACAGTGCTCAGAGGGGACCTCTGTTAGCATTTTGGAAAGTTTCTGAAAACAAAAATTGAAATGTAGAAATACGCTTTCCCCTGAAGTTTTGCGTATGCTTAGAAAATAGTAATCGGCCGGGTGCGGTGGCTCATGCCTGTAATCCCAGCACTTTGGGAGGCCGAGGTGGGCGGATCACCTGAGGTCAGGAGTTCAAGACCAGCCTGGCCAACAGGGCAAAACCCCATCTCTACTAAAAATACAAAAATTAGCCAGGTGTGGCGGTGCACGCCTGTAATCCCAGCTACTCGGGAGGCTGAGGCATGAGAATCACTTGAACCTGGGAAGCGGAGGTTGTAGTGAGCCGAGATCACACCACTCTACTCCAGTCTGGATGACAGAGAGAGACTTTGTCTCAAAAAAAAAAGAAAAAAGAAAATAGTAGTAATGCCATGCTGCTGCCTGGGGTTCGAGAATGTAGTCGTCTGTCCCTCTGTGGGACTGAGGGTGCTAGGCTGAATGTAGGGGCACGGGGATGGGGGGAATCTCGGGAAAAGGCTGGAACCTGGCACCTGAGCTGAGTCCTGACGAAGGAATTGGAGTCAGCCAGGCATAAAAAGGGGTGGAGATGGGCCTGGACAGGCTGCAAATGAGCCTAGGCCTGGAGGAAACACAGCAGGGAAGGTGGGAACCTCTAGCAACTGGTGCTACTGGAGCATAAAGTTCAAGGCAAGGGGCAAGGAGTGGCAGGAAATAATAGTGGAAGCACAGGCCGGTGAGGGGACTGTCTCTTGTGCCTGGTTAAGGGCTTAGACTTTGCCCTGCAGCCAGCAGGGAGCTCTGAGGTGTGAATCAAGAGAGCCTCTGTTCTGGGAGGCTTAAGCATGGCTAGGTTTATCTTCTATGTGATTGAACCCCCAGCTGCCCTCACTCTCCTTTGGGGTGTGGGAAAATGATTCACCTCTCTTTGCCCCTCCATTCTCCAGCCCATCTGGCTGTCCTCTCTCCCTCTCTTGTCTGGAATTGGTTCTGACACCTGCAAACTTCACCTTGAAAAGTTCAGTTCCCAAATCCAGACACGGTACTGAGTCCAGTCCCAGAGCTTTCTGGGCTGGGAGGGAGGTGGGGTGGGAACTCTTAATGGGGCTTTAAGAATACAGCTTGAACCCGGGAGGCGGCTGTTATAGTGAGCCGAGATTGCACCACCACACTCCAGCCTGGGCGACCGAGCAAGACCCCATCTCCAAAAAACAAAAAAAGAATGCAGCAGGGCCTTGAATGGGCACCACAAACAGGGGCATGCCCCAGGCCACTTCTCAGTTCCTGCCCAACCTCTGACTTGCCTCTGTGAGTTCACAGTTGTGAGAACTGGGTTATCAATGTTTTTTTATTATTGATAAATATAGTTAATGTAATTGACCCACCCATCTGGGGCACTGAATACTTTACAAAGCACTTCCAAGAGCATTTCCTCATTCACTCTTCACTGCAATTTCCGGAATGGGCAGAGCAGACATGTTACACCCAGGAAACTGAGGCAGAGAGGTAGTGTGACTTTTCAAAGGTCACCCACGGGGCTAAAGCTCAGGGAGAGGCCACTTCAAACAGGCGCTTCCCCTTTCAGGGAGTTTACATATTAGTGATGTTGTCACAGTCAACAGAAGAACCTCTGTGATTTTTAAAAAGCTTCGTTGTACAAAATTTTGAGGCTGCAGAAAAGTTTAAAGAAAATAAAAACAAACCCCTATAATCGCACTGCCCAGAGGGGACCTCTGTTAGCATTTTGGAAGGTTTCTGAAAACACAAAATTCCTCCTTTTTCCTCCCACAGGTGGACGACCCCCCGGAGCCCGTGTACGCGAACATAGAGAGGCAGCCCCGGGCCACTTCGCCGAGCGCTGCTGCGGTCCCCCTCCCCAGCCCAGTGTGGGAGACGCACACGGACGCGGGCACCGGGCGCCCCTACTACTACAATCCAGACACGGGAGTTACCACCTGGGAGTCGCCCTTTGAGGCTGCCGCCAGCCCAGCCACCTCCCCTGCCTCGGTGGACAGCCACGTGAGCCTCGAGACCGAGTGGGGCCAGTACTGGGATGAGGAGAGCCGCAGAGTGTTCTTCTACAACCCGCTGACGGGCGAGACGGCCTGGGAGGACGAGGCCGAGAACGAGCCCGAGGAGGAGTTCGAGATGCAGCCGGGCCTGAGCCCTGGCAGCCCCGGGGACCCGCGGGTGAGGGGCAGGGCCAGAGTGGGCGGGTCTACCTCTGAGCTCCTCTGATCCTGCCTCCTGCTCCCAGAGGCCCAGGGACACACGGGTGAGGGGTGGTGATGGGTGGGCAGGGCTACCTCTGAGAGCCTTTGACTCCTCCTCCTGCTCCCACAGACCCAGGGACCCCAGGGTGAAGGGCGTGGCTGGAGTGGGCGGGGCTACCTCTAAGCACTTCTGATCCCGCCTCCTGTTTTATGGACCCAGGGAGCACAGGGTTGGGGCAGGGCTGGAGTGGGCGGGGCTACCTCTGAGTGCCTCTGACGCCTTCTGCTCCCACAGCCCCAGGGACCAGAGGGTGAGGGGCGGGGCTGGAGTGGGCGGAGCTACCTCTGAGTATCTCTGACTCTACCTCCTGCTCCCACAGCCCCAGGGACCAGACGGCCAGAGGGTGGGCCTGGTCCAAAACGGCAGGGCTAGCGGGCAGTGCTGGCAATCAGAGCCTCTGACTCTACCTTCTGTTCCCCACAGCCCCCCACCCCGGAGACGGACTACCCCGAGTCACTGACCAGTTACCCCGAGGAGGACTATTCTCCCGTGGGCTCCTTTGGTGAGCCCGGCCCCACCTCTCCCTTGACCACACCCCCCGGCTGGTCTTGTCATATCAGCCAGGACAAGCAGACGCTCTACACCAACCACTTCACCCAGGAGCAGGTAGGCGAAGCGGGCAGATGGACCCGGCCAGCCTCGGAGTCCTCCCCACAACCTTCCTCACTAATAGGTCGCCTGAGTGCTCTAAACTGTAGCTCCCACACAGAGCCTAAACCCGTCAAACGCATCACCTGCACCTGCCCCTCCAGACTCCCTGGTGCTGTCTTGGAACCTGGTTGGAGGGGACCTTTTCCTCCCTTCTCATGAGCGGGGCGGGAGGCCCTGACCGTTCCTCTCCCCACAGTGGGTGAGGCTGGAGGACCCCTACGGGAAGCCATACTTCTACAATCCAGAGGACTCCTCCGTTCGATGGGAGCTGCCCCAGGTAACAACCTGGGGAAAGGGGGGTGCTGGGGAGAGAGGAAGAGATCACATACGACTGTGTCTTTCTCCCCAGGTCCCTGTCCCTGCCCCTCGAAGCATCCATAAATCCAGCCAGGATGATGACACCCCAGCCCAGGCCAGCCCTCCAGAGGAGAAGGTAGGGGAGGAGCCATTGAGGTCCTGGCAGGACCACCACAGTAGCACTAGGGGGCTTCTGGAGGTCCTGGGAGAAGGGACTGGGCAGGACATATCTGTCTTCCCCACAGGTCCCTGCAGAGCTGGATGAGGTTGGGAGCTGGGAGGAAGTCTCTCCTGCCACAGCTGCTGTGAGGGTAGGCATCACCCCTACCCCCAGCCAGGTGGTGGGGCTGGCGAGGAGGGTTCAGTGGGGCCATGGGCCCAGACCATAGAGAGTGGCAGCTCAGCAGGTGACCAGCCTCTACTCCCCATAGCTCACCCCTTAACTACCCACTCTTGTACCTTCTCTCTCTTTTCTCTCTTAGACCAAGACGTTGGACAAGGCAGGGGTGCTCCATCGCACCAAGACGGCGGAAAAGGGAAAGCGGCTCCGGTGAGAGCCCATCTACACCCAGGCCGGGGCAGGGTGGGCCTTGGTGATGATGTTCACTGAGCACTTCCTATACGCCAGGCTCTTATTAATGCTCACAACAACTTCGTGAGTGGTCCTCTGTGGACACTGAGACACTGCGAGATAAAGTGACTTGCTCAAGGTCCCTTGGCTGCTAGGTGTTAGAGTCAGGATTTCAGCCCTCATAGTGGGGTGCCCTAGCCTGTGTTCCTAAGCTCTGACTTGTTCCTGAGGTAGGAGGGGCCCTCAACCCAGGACCAAATCTAAGTCCTGCCACCCCAACTTCCCCACCCCCACCTAGAAAGAAGCATTGGAGTGCCTCCTGGACTGTGCTGGAGGGTGGCGTCCTGACATTCTTCAAGGACTCAAAGACCTCAGCTGCAGGCGGCCTGGTAAGGCCAGGCCCTCAGGGCAGGGACCACCCCATCTGCTTTTATTTATTTATTTACTTTTATTTATTTATTTATATATTTATTTATTTATTTATTTTTGAGACAGAGTCTCGCTATGTCGCCCAGGCTGGAGTGCAGTGGTGTAATCTCGACTCACTGCAACTTCTTCCTCCTGAGTTCTCCTGCCTTAGCCTCTTGAGTAGCTAGGACTACAGGCATGTGCCACCAGGCCCGGCTAATTTTTGTGTTTTTAGTAGAGATGGGGTTTCACTATGTTGGCCAATCTGGTCTTGGACTCGACTTCAGGTGATCCGCCCACCTCGGCATCCCAAAGTGCTGGGATTACAGACGTGAGCCACTGTGCCCAGCCCCCATCTGCTCTATCTAATCTGGCTTGGAGATGACGAGGTCTGAGAGAGTGGTCCATGAGTATCAGAGGAGCTGGGCCTTGGCAGGAAGGGGGTGATGCTGGCAGCTTCACTCCAAGACAAGTAGTTTTAGGCCACTGGAGATGGGGAACAGTCTTGAGGGTGGCCAGCTCCAGTCTGGAGGGCAGGGAGGCTGGGGGCGGGCATACCTGCTTGCAGGGATGCAGACTGCACTCCTTTCCTGTCCTCCACTGGACGGGTGGACAGCAGTGGACAGGCCAGCCAGCAGGCTCTGTGGTTAAGAAGCATCAGGGTCTGGGTTCAGGAACCCTTGGGGCTCTTTTCCCCAGAGTCGTTTCTTGGCCATGCCATAGACCCCATCCTATTCCTAGGGTCAGAGTGCCACAGCAGACACATCTGAGGGCTCCCTGTGACCTTCCTCCCCCTCCCACAGAGGCAGCCTTCCAAGTTTTCCACCCCCGAGTACACAGTGGAGCTGAGGGGGGCCACTCTCTCCTGGGCCCCCAAAGACAAATCCAGTAGGAAGAATGTGCTGGAGGTAAGTAGCCAGGGTGGGGAGAAGGAGGGAAGGGGCTTAGTGATGCCTGTCAGCCCTCTGACAACTGTTGACCTGGAAATGACCTGGGGGTTTTTGATCCTTAGTTCCCTATGAGCCAACGCTGTGTGCAGCTTTTGGCTGTATTAATAGAGGTGGGAATCCAGAGCCAGAGAGGAGATATTGGTGCAGTTGTTGGCAGTGCTCTGGGACCCTTACTGTAGGCAAGCTCCAAGAAGGAGGACCTAGGAGGAATTGGGGCTACCATTCTCGGGGCTCAAGGCCAATGCTGCCCCCCAACCCCAGGGGACCTGTCCTGTGTTTCTAACATCACAGATTCTGCAGTTCCCTCTCCAGGAGTTGAGTTAATAATAATCCTTGCCCTGGAGGGTGGTGAGGAGTAGGGCCTCTGAGAGAAGAAATTCTCATGCCTAGAATGGCAGCCCTCATCCCAGCCTGAGAGAGACAGGAGGCTCCGTGTCCTTGGCTGCTTACTGTGACAGGCCTGGTTGGGAAACCTCTTTCTCCCCAGGTCCCCTTCCCTGCCCCTGAGCCAGAGCCCCATTTCTGACTGGACTGCATCCCCAGTGAGTAAACCAGGGCAGTGGAGAAGACTACCATGCTACCCCCTGAGGAAGGGAGAGAAGACGAAGGAAGGGTACTCCCAATGCCACACCCTTCACTGTCCACATGTTGTCTTGTTTTTAAACTACTCTTACCCTGACCTCAGTCCCTAGAAGGTTTGAGGCAGTTCACAACAGAAACGTGTGGTGAACTGGCAAATTCACTGAAAAGCCAGGACCGCAAAAAACAAGTAAGAGATGGGACTCAAGATGGAGAGGAATTAGGGGGAGATGAGGTACTAAGGTGGTGGTTACTGAAGAAAATTTAGCTCTGACTTTGCTGCTAGGGGAGGTGAAAAGAGAAGGGCTGTCAGGTGCATGTCTCTTTGTTGTTGAAAAAATAATAAAACCCACCCAGATGTTGAGGGAATCAAAGCTTTTTCCTAAGCCTTCACTCTTAAATTTCTTGTGTGTAGCTCCATGAACATGGGATCTAGAAGCACGCGGCAGGTACCCCGCAAAACAGCTCCAAGGAGGTTTAATTCAGGATCTGGGGCTGCTTCAGGTAGCATCATTATGATAAGGCCAAGAGCGTGACCTCATGTCTGAGCTCAGAAAAAGCAATTCTGCAAGGAACCTGAGTGCATCGTTTCCTGATTATTCACCAAGCTCCATTCAGTTCTAGAGCCAGGATATCTACAAAGTAAAGTTGGAAAACTGGTTTCATCTCATGAGCCACTCTGATGAGTAGGTCTGGAGTCTTGTGAGGTTTTGTTTTTGTTTTTATTTTTTGTTTTTGTTTTTAGAGACAAGGTCTTGCTCTGTTGCCCAGCCTGAAGTGCAGTGGCATAGTCATAGCTCACTAAAGCCACAAGCCCATGGGCTCAAGTGATCCTCCCACCTAAGGCTTCCAAGTAACTAGGACTACAGGCGCATTCCGTCACATCTGGCTAATTTTAGTCTTTATAGAGATGGGGTCTCACTATGTTGCCCAGGCAGGTCTCAAACTTATGGCCTCAAGTGATCCTCCAGCCTCAGCCTCCCAAAGCGTTGGGATTACAGGTGTGAGCCACGATGCTCAGCCTGGAGCCCTCCTTTTTTTTTTTTTTTTTGAGACGGGGTCTTGCTCTGTCACCCAGGCTGGAGTGCAATGGCACCATCTCGGCTCACTGCAAGCTCCGCCTCTCGAGCTCATGCCGTTCTCCTGCCTCAGCCTCCCAAGTAGCTGGGACTACAGGCGCTGGCCACAATGCCCAGCTAATTTTTTGTATTTTTAGTAGAGTTGGGGTTTCACCGTGTTAGCCAGGATGGTCTCGATCTCCTGACCTCGTGATCCACCCGTCTCAGCTTCCCAAAGTGCTGGGATTACAGGCATGAGCCACCGCACCCAGCCGCCTGGAACCTTCTTGAGAAGAATTCTGAAGCCTTCTCTGGGCTTGGCAGGGTAGAGTTCTGTGATCAACTAACAATATCTGCCATGGTGTTAAATTGAGGAGTGACATCACCATTATTATTGTTGTTGTTGTTGTTGTTGTTGTTGGAGTGACATCACCATTATTATTGTTGTTGTTGTTGTTGTTGTTGTTGTTAAGTTCTGTGATCAACTAACAATATCTGCCATGGTGTTAAATTGAGGAGTGACATCGCCATTATTATTGTTGTTGTTGTTGTTATTATTATTATTATTATTTGAGACAGAGTGTCACTCTGTTGCCCAGGCTGGAGTGCAGTGGCACAGTCTTGGCTCACTGCAACCTCTGCCTCTTGGGTTCAGGTGATTCTCCTGCCTCAGCCTCCCGAGTAGCTGGGACTACAGGCACCTGCCACCACACCCAACTAATTGTTTTGTATTTAGTAAAGACGGGGTTTCACCATGTTGGCCAGGATGGTCTCAAACTACTGGCCTCAGGTGATCTACCCACCTCGGCTTCCCAAAGTGTTGGGATTACAGGCATGAGCCACCATGCCCGGTCTGAGACATCACCTTTGCTAGGCATGTTTCTCCCCTTACTTGAGGGATAGGGATATCCTTCAAACAGTTCTCGATGAAGGTCATCACTGATGGGCTTTTGATGAAAGTTTCAGAATAGGGCTTTCTGAGTTGTCTTTGCTGGCAAGGACTGGAAGGCAGGTGCTGCTCAGGCCAGTGGGAAGGTGGGCAGGCCTGAGTGGAAATCACGAGCCTCTGCCTCCTGGTTGACTGCTGGCCATCCTCCCTCCATGCAGGGTGGCCTGTAGGCAGCTCCAGGGTTTTCCTCAAGAGATAGCCCCAAATTTTATATCATTCAGGATGGATGGCTTTGTTGGACCCAGGAAATTTTCACAGCAGGTCTTCCTAGTCACCCCAAAGTCAGAGAAAACTTCAGCAACAGTCCGCCGAAAGCTGCTAGCATTTGCTTGTGCAGTCAGCAGGATAAATATTTTGTTAATTTGTTTGTTCTTAGAGATAGGGTCTTACTGTGTTGCCCAGGCTGGAGTGCAGTGGCCTGATCATAGCTCACTGCAGCTTCTAACTCCTGGGCTCAAGTGATGCTGCCGCTTCAGCCTCTTGAGCAGCTGGAAGTACAGGTGCACACCAGCATGCCTGGCTAATTTTTAAATTTTTTTCTAGGCATAGGGTCTCACTATATCGCCCAGGCTTGAACTCCTGGTCTCAGGGACTCCTCCCACCTTGCCCTTCCAAAGCACTAGGATTATGGGCATGGCTGGGGGCGAATATTTTGTGAAATACATTGCTATGTAATGATACAGCTTTGCCTTCTATGTGAAACTTGCAAATGTGAACTGATTATGTTTTGAGAGAGCTGCCAAAAATCATGGCTGTTGTTTTAGAAGTGTTGTCAAGCCATTCTCTGGGATAATCTTGAGCAGGGCTCTTTTGTCTGCTTTGATTAGAGTGAGGCTGTGTTATCTGCCTCTTGAAGGTTCTCTATCCTTTGCAGGGGAGGGCTAGGGGATGCAATATGCCATTTTCTTTTCTTTTCTTTCTTTCTTTCTTTTTTTTTTTTTTTGAGACAGAGTCTTGCTCTGTCGCCCTAGCTGGAGTGCAGTGGCACAATCTCGGCTCACTGCAACCTCTGCCTCCCGGGTTCAAGCGATTCTCCTGCCTCAGCCTCCTGAGTAGCTGGGACTACAAGTGCATGCCACCAGGCCCAGCTAATTTTTTGTATTTTTGGTAGAGGCAGGGTTTCACCGTGTTAGCCAGGATGGTCTCAATCTCCTGACCTCATGATCTGCCCGCCTCAGCCTCCCAAAGTACTGGGATTACAGGCATGAGCCACCGTGCCCAGCCTCTTTTCATTTTAAAAAGCAGTTTAAATAGTCTTCAAGTATAAGTTTTAAAGGACAGCCAAAGACAGTCCACTCTGATTCTAGAAGTAGTGTCCTGAGGTCTGAGACAGTTTCTGTTGTCTCTGACTCTCACTGAACCGAAAGGGCAGGGTTGGTATGAGCTGTTGCAGCTAAACATTCACATTAACCTGGAACACTGGGTCCTCAGAGCCAGAGGCTGATGAGGGATCCATCTAAGCTGCCATCCAACTCAGAGAGGGCTTTGAGCATCAGTCCTGCGGTGGCAAGTTTCCATCTGGTGTTTTGTTTAATTTATTCTTCATGGTGAAGTGGGCTAACAGAAGATGTGCTGCCCAGGCTGGAGTGTGGGAGGTGGTGGGAACTCCTGGCTGCAGAAGGTGGGACAACGTTTCTGAGTCCTCAGTGTGTGTATGGGGAGGGGCAAGGAGAGACCTTGCTTTCTCTGGGATCAGCCATGATCTGCCTTCAAATCCTCGCTCCCTATTTTCACTGCTGCTTCTAGTAGACAGGGGTCTCAACATAGGAAGTTTCTGGGTTTTTTTTTTTTTTTGCGATGGAGTCTTGCTCTGTCGCCCGGGCTGAAGTGCAGTGGCGTGATCTCAGCTCACTGCAACCTCCACCTCCCGGGTTCAAGCAATTCTTCTGCCTCAGCCTCCCAAGTAGCTGGAATTACAGGAGCCCACCACCATACCCGGCTAATTTTTGTATTTTTAGTAAAGACGGGGTTTCACCATGTTGGCCAGGCTGGTTTTGAACTCCGGACCTCAGGTGATCAGCCTGCCTCGGCCTCCCAAAGTGCTGGGATTACAGGTGTGAGCCACCGTGCCTGGCCTCACATAGGAATTTTCTTTCACCTAGTTTGCAGGCCAGTGCTCTGCATGAGGCCTGCCATGTTCTGTGGTTTGCGGGGAGGCAAGATGGGGGAGGGAAAGTGTACCAGACAATTGAGCCATGCAGCTCTGTGCTCATCACTCACTAGCTGTGTGCCCATGAGGAAGCAGCTAAAACTTGCTGAGCCTCAGTTTGCTCATCTGTAACACAGAGACGCTGTCACCCACTGCTTTAAGCGAGGCAGAAGATCCAACACTTGGCCTGGGGTGAGGCCCTTGCTCCATTAAGCTCTGAGTGCCTACCCCCAGGGCAGACCCAGGGTACCAGAGATGACCCAGTGACTTGTGTCCCTCCAGCTGCGGAGCCGAGATGGCTCGGAGTACCTGATTCAGCATGACTCGGAGGCTATCATCAGCACCTGGCATAAGGCCATTGCTCAGGGCATCCAGGAGCTGGTAAGCAGAGCCCAGAGCCTCTAGGGGTGGTGGGGAGGTGGTGGCCATTCAGAGTGGGGCCTTCTGCTCAGGCTCAGGGAGCTCTAAGGTATCAGTGGGAAATGTAAATGCAGTCCCCCACTAATGGCTGGGATGGCAGGGTAGGCTGCTGAAGAAACTGCCTTCTGTAAGTCTGTGAATCCAGCCCTGGGGTTGGCGCTGCAGGAAGACTCTCCAGGTGACGGTAGGGGCGCATTCTAAAGGAATTTCCCACTTCACAGGAAGCAGAAGGCCAAGTAAATACTCTGCAAGCCAACCAACGGCAGGCTGAAACTAGCAGATAAAATTTTAAAGGATTGATTTGAATAGTCGACCATTTTTTTTAGGGTTCAAAATGCCAATTGCATAAGTAGAGCTAGGACAGGGGCTCTCTGACAACTACTGACCTGGAAATGACCTGGGGCTTTTTGACCCTTAATTCCCTATGAGCCAACATTGAGTGCAGCTTTTGGCTGTATTAATGGAGGTAGGAATCCAGAGCCAGAGAGGTGATATTGGTACAGTTGTTGGCAGTGCTCCGGCCACAGCTGGAGGTGCAGGCTCAGAACTGGGAGCCACGTATTGAGGAATGCTGACCTAGTTAGAGAAACTGAGGAAAACAGAGGAAGAAGGCTCCAGGTGGGTAGGGGTTGCCAGGATAGGAAGGGGTGTGGGAGAACAGGATGACTGTCTGCACCTTAAGGGCTCCATGCAGCTAAGGGAGGTGAATGTTCTCAGGCTCACTGGTGGAGGTAAGGAGAGTTAACCTGGTTAGGGAAGAGAGGACTCTTCGCTGAGGGTCTCCAGGCCATGCCTGTTGGGAGTGCATTTCGGGTCCCTTGCCCCATCCTGGAAGGACCCGAAGCTGGCTCAAGGCCCCACCTTTCTGAGGCTATGGGAATCCAGTCCGCAGAGCTGCCCCCAGAGGAGGAGAGCGAGAGCAGCAGAGTGGACTTCGGGGCGAGTGAGCGCCTGGGAAGCTGGCAGGAGAAAGAGGAGGACGCGCGGCCGAATGCAGGTGTGCGCAAGGCAGGATGGGCTGGGGGCTCCCAGGAGACCTCTCCTGGGGAATGGTGATTGCTGGGGCCTGCCTGGCCTGCTCCGGCGCTGCTGCTTCCTGACTCAGTCCTGCCTTCCCCCGCGGCAGCCGCGCCCGCCCTGGGCCCCGGGGTCCTGGAGAGCGACTTGAGCAAGGTCCGGTACAAGCTCCGCAAGTTCCTCCAGAGGCGGCCCACACTGCAGTCGCTGCGGGAGAAGGGCTACATCAAAGGTACCCGAGGCCTGCGGGGGGCAGGGACCCGGGGACCAGGACGGGGCGCAGGCTGGACGGGAACTGACGAGCCTCTCCCCTAGACCAGGTGTTCGGCTGCGCGCTGGCCGCGCTGTGTGAGCGCGAGAGGAGCCGGGTGCCACGCTTTGTGCAGCAGTGCATCCGTGCCGTCGAGGCCCGCGGTACGTGTGCTGTGGGGGTGAGGGAGGCAGGCATTGGGGTGCCCGCAGGTCTCCTGCCAGGACCGCAGGCTGAAGACCCCTGGATGGAAGCAGGGTCCAGGGGGAAAGTACGGGAGGCCTCGACTGGGAATCATAGCAGGGACCCGTAGCCCCACCCTACCCCCACCCCGAAACCCGGGATCAGCGCCTCCCTCTGCCCCAGGGCTGGACATCGACGGGCTGTACCGCATCAGTGGAAACCTGGCCACCATCCAGAAGCTGCGCTATAAGGTGGACCATGGTGAGGCCCGTCCCCACCCCCTGCCCCAGAGCCTGAAGGCGCGAGGGGTACTGACCTCCCTTCCATCCTCCTCCCTTCCTCTGGCACAGATGAGCGCCTTGACCTGGACGACGGGCGCTGGGAGGACGTCCACGTTATCACCGGCGCCCTGAAGCTCTTCTTTCGGGAGCTGCCCGAGCCCCTCTTCCCCTTCTCGCACTTCCGCCAGTTCATTGCGGCCATCAGTGAGCACCTGGGGCAGGTGGGGCGGATGGGGTAAGGGGCGTGGCGGGCCACCCCTTTAGCAGGCTCCCCTCGCCCAGCCGACACCCCCTACCTCCAGTTCCGACTCCCTCCCTCTAAACCTTCCTTCACCCAGAGTTGCAGGACCAGGCCCAGCGCAGCCGCTGTGTGCGCGACCTGGTGCGCTCGCTGCCGGCCCCCAACCATGACACTCTGCGGATGCTCTTCCAGCACCTCTGCCGGTGAGCCGGGAGTGCCGCGCGGGAAGGGGGAGGCAGGTCCAGGTCCCGGCTGGAGCCCCCCGCGCCTCCCTGCAGTTCGGAGCCCTGATCCCACCCACCCCTGCCGCAGGGTGATCGAGCACGGCGAGCAGAACCGCATGTCGGTGCAGAGCGTGGCAATTGTGTTCGGACCCACGCTGCTGCGGCCAGAGGTGGAAGAGACCAGCATGCCCATGACCATGGTGTTCCAGAACCAGGTGGTGGAGCTCATCCTGCAGCAGTGCGCGGACATCTTCCCGCCGCACTGACTGCGGGCCTGCGACTGGGGCGGCGGCCGAGGGCCTGCCACACAAGCTGGGCGGCGGAGGCCACGCAGCCCGGCCTTCTCTCTGGGACCTTCCGCCAGGGCACAGCCGCAGGCAGGTGTGACTTCTGCACCCTCGGTTCTGAGGGTACGGTGACCCCTAGTGGGCAGTTTGCAAAATGTGATTCCTTCCCCCAACTCCCCATCACCCCCGCCACCCCTCTCCCCTCCCCCCTCCCCCCCCACCCATCACGTCCTATTTGGGGGTTAATTAGGTTTTTTCTCTATTCCATCGCTCCTACTGTGCGTGCGCGATAGTGTGTGTTGGGGTGACAGTTGGAATTTCTGGAATGGTGGATGCTGGGGGGAGGAGTTTGATGGGGGGCTTCCTGGCTGCTTCTGGCCCTCACCTCGTGGAGGCCTTCACAGAGACCCTGTGGACCCTGTGCCGGCACTGTCCAGTCATGAAGCAGCTGTAACCACTTCCGTACTGTGGAAACAGGACTGAGCCAGTGTGGGCGGCTGAAGCTGTCCTCCTCAGGCCTCAGGATGACCTCCTGCCTGAGCCTCTCGCAGGCTGGCTGTGCGCCAGTTTCATCTGCTTTCCTGTTGGGGGTCCCGGGCCTCTGCTGTCCCCGACCCACTGATATTCTGTGCCAGGCTTCTTCCTATTCACCAAGTGCGCACCTCACATCTGCCACTGGGCATGCACCAGTTCCACACACAATCCCATTTTACAGACGAGGATGCTGAGGCCTGCAGCGGCAATGTGACTTGCTCAAGGTCCAGTGAGTGACCTCACTCCCCAGAAAAGGCTCCTCCCACACCAGAGCACAGCCTGGGTAGGGGGGAAATCAGTCCTTTCAGCTACCACCCTCCAACCTTTGGGCCTATGCGAAAGGAAAGGAACTAAACTGGGTGTGTTCTGTCTGGACCTGGGGAGGCCCCTGAAGGCAAAGAGGGAACCTGCCCCAGCTGTTCTGTCCTAGAGGAGGGGGACATAGCCCTAGCAGGAGCTTGCAGCCCCTTTTGGCACTCTGACACACAAGTATGCCCATCTGGGGCCCGCTTTGCCATGAAGAGCTGGGCAGGCCTGCAGGGTGTGGGGAAGGAGGACACAACCTCAAGAAAGGAAACATGAATCCCAGGGAACAGCGGGTCCCTTCCCTCCTCAGACACAAGCCACCTCAGCTTGTGGCTCTTGGCCCCCAGCCCCTCCCACCCACCTGTTCATTTATTCAACAGACAATGACAGCTCATATTTATTGGACATTAGCACCATGCCAAGCATTTGGCTTGGATTATCCCATTTGTTTCTCACAGCTGGTATTTATTGTCCGCTCTTCTGTGACAGGTGCTGTGCTCTGGGCACGGGCACTGCACGGGCCCTGGTGGAGCTTGTGGTCTGACAGGTGAGGCTGACCCAAGCCCACCTCACTGCCAGCAGGGCCAGGGCGAGGGTACACACGGGGGCGTCACACCATATGTCTAAATATTTAAAAGTTATCAATCAAGCTAACAACTGTTAAATAAAATATGTTCTATTCTCCTACTTTGACAAATGTGTCTTGATAATGACCTGGAAGGCCAGGTTCTAATTTAAACGTCTTTGACTTTTCCAAGTTCCATGCCCAAATGTGGTGGTGGGAGAAGGCCAGGCCCTGGGCTCAGCCTTCCCTCTCATCTTCCCACCCACAGAGCCCTCCTCCCCCAAGCAGAGGCTCACGGGCACATACGTGGACATTGTAGTCTGTGTGTGCAAACTGTCCATAACCCCTGCAGCCAGCTGCCACTTGGCTACCCCACTGGTGACTTAGTCCACCCTTGAGGGGATGGGCTTGGAGCTATTTGGGGAGGGCATGCTGGGGCCCCATGTATCAGAAGCATGTTCTAAAGGGAGGGTCCAGGAATCAAGAGGGCCCCCCAGATTCCTCATCCTGTGGGGAGGGCCACAGGCACAGGAGCCTTCTGCAGAGGACCCATGGCAGGGACCCCTCTCATTTGAGTCCAAGGGTGAAACTAGACAGACAGTAAGTAGCTAATCACTTGGTTACCACATTTGTACAAGAGCTAGCAGAAGTGTAGGGTGCTCGGAAGGAGTGTCATGGGGTGTGAATGTTGCCCAGGGACCCAGGCGGTCTGGGGTCAGGCAGAGGGAGGTCCCTGTGGGCCTGGGGTTCCCCATCAGAGGGCAGATCTGGGCTCAGGCCACTTTTTGGCTAATATGAATAATGCTGCTATGAACACTCACGTACAAGTTTTTCTGTGGACATATCATTTCAGTCAGCCAGGGCTACCATAACAAAATACCATAGACTGGGTGGCTAAAACAACAGAGATTTATTTCTCACAATTTTGGAGGCTGGAAGTTCGAGTAAGGTGCCAGTACAGTCAGGTTCTGATGAGGGCTCTCTTCCTGGCTTGCAGACAGCCGCCTTCTCACTGTGTCCTCATATGGCACAAAGAGAGTAAGCTCCAGTCACTTCCATTTATAACAAGGACACTAATCTCAACTTTATGGTCTTACATGAACCTAATCACCTCCCAAAGGCCCCGTCGATACCATCACATTGAGGGTTAGGGTTTCAACACATTAATGGGGTGGGAGGCACAAACACTCAGTCTATAACTCATGTTTTAATTCTCCTGTGGAATTTCCAGGAGTTTGCTGGATTAAATTGCTGGATTAAAAGGTAACTCTACCTTTAACCTTTTGAGGAACCATCAAATTGTTTTCTATAGCTGCACAATCTCCCACCAGTTGTGTTTGAGGGTTTCTGCTCCCTCTCGCCTTCTGCAACAATTGCTTCGGATCTTCATTCCCTCCAACTCCTGGCCTTCTTAGCCTTCGCTCTCTTATCAGGTGACCTACCTCCACCTCACGGAATAGTGGACACACTTAACATCCCACCACAAAGCTCAGCCCTCCCTCACCACGGCCTCCCTGGCCTCCTTTCCTCGGTACCTTAGAGCAGACATTTCTCCAGGGTACAGCTCACCTGTTTTTTCAGAAAATATCCACAATCGCTGGCCCCTCTTCTTGCTATTTAGCTGCTGTCTCAGGTTGAATGTCCCAGGAAACAGAGACGTTGGCAGGGGGCTTGCTGGGTCTGATCTCGTGACCAATGCCTGAGGGGCGGAGCCAGCAGGAGCCGCTGAGGGAGAAGCTGGGCTGGGGCACAGGCCCATTTAAGGCCTCAGCCACCCTATGGGAAGCTGTGGAGCTGGGACAGCCTCAGCCTTGTGCCCCATTGTGGCCAGGGGGCTGGGCCACTGGATGTGGGCTGCCTTGTAAGGTGGGAGAAGGGAGGGCATGGATTTGGGCAGAGCAGTTGTCTTCAGCCCAGGACACATCCTGGAGAGAGGCTCAGATGAGCACTATTGGCCACTGACCCTCCCTGTCCTTTGGGAAATCCTTGCTCAGTCCTGGAGGAGGGCATCTGAGAGGCACCCATGGTATCCACTACGTCGACTGGCCGCTTCCCCTCGCCACGGGAACGTGCTAAAGTGCCTCTCTCTGAAACGCCCCCCAACCCCACATCTCTCTGCAGCTGTCACCATCATCCTCCTCCTCCTCCTCCCCTTTGCAGCCAAACTTCTCAGAAGTCGTCTACACTCACGGTATCAATCCGCTTCTCTTGTTCGCTCCTCAGCCCCACTCCCCACACATCAGAGCACTTTTTTTCCCCTAAACTCACTGATTTCCCATTGATAGCTGCTGGATATTTGGGGGTCTGTGTATTAATTGCCTTTTTGGGGGCACCCTATCCCTGATGACCACCCCATCCCTGGAAATGTTCCCTTTCTCTTGGCTTGCACATTCCCCCTCGTTTTCCTCCCACCTCTGGCCATGCATCTCATTCTCTGCTGCACAGCCAGCACAGGCAGAGTCCTTGGGGCCCACCCCTCCCTGGATGAAACCGTCTACACCCATGGCATCAGCGACTCACTGATCCATAGTATCAGGCCTGACTGCTCTCTAAGCTCCCAATCCTGGTGTCCTCTGACAACCTGACATCTGCTCTGGGACGATCCCCAGCCCAAGACTGGATTTGTGATTTTCCCCAAACCTTGTACTCCTCATTTTACCTGTCCCAGGCAAAGGCTCCATCATGCCCTTAGTCAGGTGAGCCAGAAACCTGGGAATGTGACCTACTCCCTCCATCTCATCTCTCTCTCCCACCTCCATACCCGATCTGTGTCTTGTCAGTCCTTCCTCTCTTATCCACCGCTTTCCATCACTAGGGCCCCTTCCTGGTCTAAGGGGCTAATATCTCCTGCCTGGACCCGGCAGCTCCCAGCCCCCTTCCCCATCCCATGTCCTCATTGCCCCCACCGCATCCAGCCTTATTTCAAAACACATGCCTGATTATATTATCACCCTGCATGAAAACCTTTCCACTCACCTAAGGAAAAGACGAAGCTTCAGCATGGCCTGCCTGGGGCTTGAACCTGCCCACCCCTCAGCCTTCTCTCGTGAACCAGTGTGAGACAGTGGCTCAGCGCATGGGCTCTCAAGTCAGGCTGCCTGGATTCAGATGTGAGCTCCACATTGCCCCTGCCAGATGGTTTTGGATTATTGACTCATTCCTTTGTGCCCGTTTTTTCATCTGGAGAATGGGGATGCAATAGCAGCACCAAACTCACAGGTGGTTGTGAAGATGCCACGAGATGATACAAGGCTCTGAGAACACAGCCTGGCTGCAGTAAACACTTGCTGGGTCCTGTGCCTTACATGCTGTTCGGTTTACAGACTGTAGCTACACTGGCTTCCCATCGATTTCACAAATGTTTCACACTCCCCTCTGCCCCAGGACCTTTGCATGTGCTGTGCTTTCTTTGTAGTTCTCTTCTCCCTTTGCTTAGTCATCTTTTAGCACTGTGCTCAGGTAACTTCCTCAGGCAGCTCTTTCCAATGCCCGGCTAGGTCAGCGTTCTTTGTTACACACCATCAAAGACCCATATGTGCCGGGCGTGGTGGCTCACACCTGTAAGCACTTTGGGAGGCCGAGGCAGGCGGATCACAAGGTCAGGAGATCAAGACCACGGTGAAACCCCATCTCTACTAAAAATACAAAAAATTAGCCGGGCACAGTGGTGGGTACCTGTAGTCCCAGCTACTCAGGAGGCTGAGGCAGGAGAATGGTGTGAACCCAGGAGGCAGAGCTTGCAGTGAGCCAAGATTGTGCCACTGCACTGCAGCCTGAGTGACAGAGCGAGACTCCGTCTCAAAAAAAAAAAAAAAAAAAGAAAAGAAAAAAAAAGACCCATATGCTTCTCTTCTCTAAATTTGTCATTTTGCACTCATATATCATGATTATTTATTGCTGTCTGAACCTCCTCGCCATGATACTATAAGCCCAGGACGGTGGGGACTCTGTCATTGCTCACCATCGCATGCACAGTGCCTGGCACTTAAAAGGTGTTTAAGAGGCTGGGCGTGGTGGCTCACGCCTGTAATCCCAGCACTTTGGGAGGCAGAGGAAGGCGGATCATGAGGTCAGGAGATCAAGACCATCCTGGCTAACACGGTGAAACCCTGTCTCTAGTAAAAATACAAAAAATTAGCCAGGTGTGGTGGCGGGCGCTTGTAGTCCCAGCTACTCAGGAGGCTGAGGCAGGAGACTGGTGTGAACCCGGGAGGCAGAGCTTGCAGTGAGCCAAGATCACGCCACTGCACTCCAGCCTGGGTGGCAGAGCAAGACTCCATTAAAAAAAAAAAAAAAAAAGGTGTTTAAGAGACACCCATTAACAAGCTGATACGTGAAAAGGAAGACAGCTGGAGTTCAGTCCCCAGCTCTGCCATTTCCTATCAAGTGATCTTGGGCAAGGGGTCCACTTCAGTGTGCTCATCTATAAAGTCAGGACATTCACGCCTACCTCAGACACTTCTCACCATTATAAAATGACATGTGCAACACGCATGGCCCAGCACCTGGTGGTGGAATATTTGCACCTGGAGCACTTGCAAAGTCTTGGTAGTCTTTGCTTCTCAGGCCCAAGGACAGTCCTGTGTCCTGGGGTGAGACAGCCTCTGCGGTGGGACCAGACGTGGAAGGGCTGTAGAGGACCCCTGGGGTGCTGCCAGACGCCTGGTGGACAGTAAGGCACACTGAGCCAGTGACTCTTTGGTTTGCAGGGCACTGGAGCTGTCCTTTTTCAAGTTTTCAGTCCAGCAGTGTTGTAGGGAAAGGTACTTTTGTCTGGTTTGGGCAAGAGCATCAGGAGCAGGAGACTGTCCCCTCAGGCCAGTACAGGAGGGGACCCACTGGTATCAACAAGAGAGGCCCTGCCAGGTAGAACGGGAGCCATGAGTGAGGTACAGCCCCCTGTGTCCTCCAAGAGTCCTATGTAGTCCAAGAGTGGATATTCTTGTTTTGTTGCCAGTCTCAGAGCAGGGCTAGGTATATTAAGGGAGATGGCAAATGTCATTCCAGAAGAAAGGGCCAGCCCATGAAAGGCTCCTGTGCCCTGCTGGGAGAATGAACTTCATCCTTTATGGCCCACTGGATGCCACTAGTTGATGACCAGGTGGACAATATAGCCAGGGAT